GCCATCTATTGTTCCCAGCATTCAGTAGATTGCATAAATTTGTGCAAAGGGCAAAGCAGAGGCCTGAATTTTGCACAAATCTAAAATTAACTGTCTGAAAATCCAAGGTGACCAAGCTATACTGTATACATATTCAGTATCAGCAGAATGCTTCCATATTGTTTGTGTTACATGTTGCAAGATCAACAACAAGAGCAACTTTACTCTAATGAGCCTGACCTGGAGTGCACAATTTATGCAAGTTGTACAACAGCCACTAGATACATGGAATTTTCAGCTTCAAATGTCTGCAAGTACTTTGAGTATTTTCATGGAATCCAAAACCAAAAACTTGGCTTGGCCCGTTTTTGGCCAATGGGTCAGAAATGTTGGAAAGGTCTGCTGAGCTCAAATGAAACCAGTGTCACATATACCTAATGGTTCCCAGGTTCCTGTATTGCCCTAAAATGAAACTAGGACATTCTAAGTAGTCTCATTATGTATACAAACTCAGTTACCCAAGTTGTCTTGCATAACTGTCATATGTAGGACACACTTGGTACATGAAAGATCACTCATTGTTGTATATACCTACTTTGTCCTCTACACTGTGCATTTCAGCAATGCCTCTACTTTTAAAGAACAACAAATAGTCTTGCAGCATCCTAAACACTAACAAACTTAATTTATCATAAGCTTTCATAGACATTGTCCTTTACACTAAGTGCATCTAATTTCACTTACATCAGGGTTTTACACTTTCTTTTTTTACATGTAGAACAAAGAAAATTTCACGTTGTGGAATTGTGACTATAACTAATCTCATAATGGGTAGTGTCCTTGAATGAAAGAAACAGAGCCAAGAACAAGACGGAGATACCAGCAGGGTCTATAGAAGCACAAGACAAGTTTAGGGAGAGAAAGAACATGGGGGAAGGTCATAAAGCAGCCCAATGAGGACTGAGCATGCTCAATGGCAATAGCATGCTGACTGATGCAGGCAAGACCAAGTAGGGAATGGAAAATAAAATGGAGTCTCCTGAAAAGGGGCATAACTAGTTGGTTGGCTGGAACCTTGTAAGGAGCGCTCCATTTTGCAACACTGATGAAGGTCCCACTTCTACCAGTCTACCTAAAGTAAGAATCATAGCAATACTGATTATGTGATAATATAAATTGCAACAATTTAGAGCAAAATGTGACCCTTAGTTTGGAGATTCTACTGAAAGTAGCATTGCTACTCTCAAAGGTATAATAGATATAAAGGATCTGAAGAGGCCATCCTTAATTCTGTGGACATTAAAAGGTTCCCCACAGACTGTTTCCGAGCTTATCTTAAATTATTTTGAAAGGGTTTTTATTTGGTACCATGATTATAATTTTTCAAGTGTCACAACTAAGTTCAAATTCATGCAGTTTAGCTTTGACAGTTTGTGGATCACAGCCTGTAGCTCCACACTCCAGCTATCTTACTACTCCTCTGAAATCAATAGTACTGTTTCTACAGCACACTGAGGATTTCAGCCCAAGGTTCCAAGTGGCTTCCGCAAGCAATTTCTATTTACAATTAGGAGAATGTTAGTGGAGTACTCTGAACAACTGCCAATATTACTAAATTAACAAAGAATGTGCACTTTTCATGCATACTGGAAGTGGCCAAAATAAGTATGTTGTAGCACATGTTTTTCTGTTTGCACAATGTCCTTCCTTTGTGTGGACCTTACAGCTGGGGCACATTCTGTGCATTTCTGCCTGGACAATTTCTGCCTGGTAGATAGGAACCAAAAATTAGAGCAACTGTTCATTAAAAAAAATAATAAAACCATGCAGCGGCAACCCACATGACATTTACAGATGAATCTTATTCCAGAGGCTTGTGTGAGACAAGGAATAACCACAGTATATCCTCTTGCTTCATGCCTACTTATTGCAAAACTAAACTGTTAGTTGTTAGGATGCCAAAGTCAACAGCATTCTGAACTTTACTCTCCTTTCTCTCCTTGTAGTAGCATTTCTGAACTGCATATACATTTCTGCTTCTGCTGTACTAAACCAGTGGATCCTGCTTCTCTGGGGCAATGGATGGGGTCTGCTTCAAGAACTAGTGAAAGTTCAGGTGGGTTTTTGTGAACTGGCAAGAAGCCTGACACCAGTCTTAGTTATGACTAGCTATTGGATTAGTTTCCAGGCCACTGACACACAAGGCATTTTGAAAATTTTATTCCAAAGTTTGACATGCTTTCATCGATTTTACAACAAAAAAGAGGATCCATAAGCAAAAACAGGCAACAAAAGTTGTCAGTGTTATAAGACATGCTTGACTGATAATGCTGTCAGATAATATTGGACCAACCGCATGTGTTAGTTCTTCCAGATCAGATAATATTGGACCAACCGCATGTGTTAGTTCTTGAGACCCCTTGACTTTTGTGCAATTCAGCGAAGAACTAATGCACCCATATACATGATGGGTCCTTTGATATGGCCAATTAATCTCCATTTGAGCCACAAGGTTCTGAAAGCACAGACTCCTGTACAGACAGCAATGAAGTCAAATCCCTTGTATGCAAACCTCAAGCGCACCCTATTCAGAAATGTGTGAAAGAAAGGCAACAAAGTTCTGCAGCAGCAAAGTCTTCACTCCTTGTGAAGTGAAGTAATATGCAAGATGGACTACTTGCATATTAAACATATTCAAACGTTTTTAATTAGCTATCTATCTGAAGAACATCACTGTCTGTTTTTGAACTAAATAAGCAAAGACAACAGATTCTGAGCCTTCCTCATGTAATCTATGCAAGTTCAGTTTCATGTATTATTCAGCATATTTATTGGCATATAGAACCCTGTGGCATCTCCTTTGGAACGAGGTATGCATAACAATGGACAGGTCTCCCATAGCTCAGTATGTGATTTTTCTCCAGCCATCTTTACAGCAGCCTTCCCATCTGGGTGCCCTCCAGGTGTGTCAGACCACAACTTCCATCTTTACTCAGCCAGCATAACATTCATAATATTTAACATATAATGAGAAATGTAGCATATATTACATAAAGAACTAAGTAGCAAAACAGTATGGAGAAATTTCGTAGGTTGGGTTTCTAACAAAGGGCAGTGCTTCCAGGTAATGTAGACATGTCATGCTTTGGGGTGTTTAAAAATTCTCTGCATGAGGTTTTGTTAAAGCGACTTTGAAAAATCACTAAAAATTCAAATACTTAGGATGATTTTATTTTCTCAATTGAAATAATAAGGTGTCTTCAGTTAAACAGAAGGAAAACATTACTGTATTGTCAAGTTTCAAATCCTTAGCAAGATACCTGACACTTCTGTTGTGCATGGTAATTACCTTTTCATCAGAACAGTATAGCTTACACTGCATTTCCAGTCTTTCAGTTTGTTTACTGCACTTTGAGAAGGGAAAGGAAATAAAGGCATAGTGATCTGCCTTGTGTAACACAACAACCCACTGTGGGCATGTAGCTACAATGGTTGTTGTGTCATGCAAACAGGAATGACTTTCTGCAGGGTGTCATTGTTCATAAACAAGTCACCCTGACAACCCATGGCTTGTTTTAAGGGTTGCTTGTACACTGACGGTTGTCATGTCATCCCAGCAATTTCATTGTGAGCTGTAGCTTCTATCCTGTTTCCTCCACGGCTGGAGCTTGTAAACAGTGAGATGTGTGGTTAAGTCAGCTTTAGTCAACTAAGGTAGCTTGGTGTCTGCCAGGTTATGACAAGAGAAGCCAGAGTAAGTCAAGTTACAGCAAGACAGGTTCAGTCAAGTAAGACACATCAAAGTCATGTGGGCTGAGGTAGATAAAGGCATGAGAAAGAAGGTGAAAGCAAGTCACTAGTGTAGTAATGGCAATAATGGAATCTTAAGATGTTTGGCTGAGCATCACTTTGAAGTGGCTCTGCCTCCATCCTGAGAAAGGGTGCCTGCAATTTTTATAGCGGGTGAAGACTGACTCTGCAGTTTGAGGCTCCTGATTCACATCTTTTGCATGGCAGCTCTGCATGCTTCCAGATCACAGGGGCTGTTTGAAGGTGAGATAAACCTCATAAAACCCCACAGCTTATATTAATGATTTTTGAAGGTTGTCTAACCTAGAAACAACCCCTGCTACTTGGGTCTGCAGGACACAAACACCCAGGCAAGCCTGTCACTGTGCAAAAAATGGTACCTGTGGGTGTTTGGCACAACACAGCAGCCCCTGTTGATAAATTAACCCACAGTGAGCCGTCATGTTGAGTCTGTGGATGAGGTGAGAGCCAAGCTCTGAAGATGAGAGGCACAAAGGAAATGTCAAATCTCCCCCACTGGGGCACCTAACCTGAATGCTCCTTAGGGTAAAGTCAGAATGCAGATCAAAGGGGGCACAACATTTGCTTAAAGCACAATGAGTCTATTCAGATGCCTATTTCTATAAACCAATAAGCTTAACTTGGGGAAGGGGGTTACAATTCAACTAAAATTCATGATTCAATGACATAAGGCAATCTTCTTTGAAGCCATGAATTCTTGATTTTGAAATACTAATTTGGTATTTGTGTTAGACATGTTGTGAAAACTGGAGAAACGAGGATTAAACCTTGTAGGAGGTCCCATTTTGAATTGACAGTGCCTCCAAGGTCATGAAAAGGTCAGGAGCAAGCAATACCTAAGCAATACTTCAGCTGCTGCTTTCTTGGCCCTGCTATAAAAAGGGCTGGCACATTAGCAGAGGAGAGACGTGGCCTGGCTACACTTTACAGTCACCACAGGGATGCTGGTCCCCACAGCAAGTGTAATCTCTGCCCCAGCCCGGAGATCTGCAGGAGCCTACCCATCCCACACAGAACTCCATGTATTGCTAAGGACCTGTCTACACTTCAAGAGAAAAAATGAATGTTTCTTCTTGATCCTCGGAACATGAGCAAAATAAAAAGTCAGTTATAAATAAATTCTTGGTTTTGCTTGTTCCACAGACCTGACATTAATTACAAATAAACTGTGTGAGAGTATCTATACATACCCGCTGCTTTTCGGGATCCACATAGCGAATGCCAAAGTAGTCTTTTTCCAGCAAACTGTAGTGATTGCAGACATGATCTATGAGAAACTGACCTTTGGTCTCCCTCTGAAAATAAAAAAGGGCAGATTTAGTAAAGCTGTAGATTATTTCTGCCTGAATTCTAGATGTAGGATTTTCTGAACAAATTTTAAAGACTTGCTTTATATACTAATAATTTTGGTTCAGCAAAAGGCACACAACGTATTCTGTTAAAAATATCTCTGAATTTCAACTAATACCACCATAACACTGATCTGTTCTGAGATATGCCTAATGTCAGGTATTTCTTCATCAATCATTCAGGCAAACACTTCACACTACAGGCTGATCTGCACAATCACCATGGTTTGTTTACTCTACTGTGACCATGTAGACTAGGTCTGAGTGTTAGAAATACAGTTCACTGTCCTTGGGCACTGTGAAAAGACATACAAAGTAAATATTAAGATGAAAGACAGATGATGCAACTAAGCTTGAATAGAACATTCTTAAGTGGCAGTGATCCAAAAACAGCCATGTCATTCGTAGTTTTTCTGTTCAAGTTATTTTGGCTATCTACATTATTATTTTCACATCATGAATGATAAAGTCCAGGGTCAAACTATGAAGCCCCTTTCAGAAACAACAGAAAGGTTGCTTGAAGGAAGAAAGCAAAGATGTATTTAGAATGAACTACTGCAAGAGCCAAAGAAGATGGTGCTATAAAAGAGCAAATACTACCAAAAGCAGCAAGAGTGTGTCTACCCCATGACCTTCCCAAAATAGTATTCAACTGTGGATTGTAATCCCAATAATGTTAGATGGTTAATGATGTAGTGATGGAACATTTATTGAATTACAATTTCTTTAGGTTGCCTTTGAGGCTGTACAAGATAAAACAGCACAAAATGGTACAAAAATTAAAAAATCGATACAGTTGCTGAACATGGGAAAATTCCACCAGGCATTAGCGAAGGGAATTGGGAGAGCTAGGAGTGTGGCTGCCATGTATGAGAGCATCCACAGGTGAGTGTCTCATCAGATTCAGTATTGCTACAATGCAGTCTCCAAAGCGTTGAGGGTGGCACATCTCCAGCCAGGCAGACTGGAGCTGTACATTAGTGTTATATACTGATTTTAGCAGTGTGAGCAGTAATTCAGTCAACTAACCAGCAGAGACATCTGCATAATGACCATTGCTTAACCAAACATTTTTAAAGCACTGTCCCTGAAAATGGCATTTATATTACAAACACAATGATAAACACAAAGCCAAGAAGAACAGTTAAAATGTCCATAACTTTCAAGGATCTGCTCCACTATCTATTTGTTTTATTGCATTATCAGTCTTCCCAGTCCCCAGCCATGGAGTACTTAGTTTAATTAATAGTGTCCAAATAATGAATGAAACATTCAAGTCAACAAAATAAACCAAATACTCTACTCTACTAAATATATGCATGTACAATTGAAAAGTTTGACAAAGGATAGCATGATTTGAATGAATTTTTTCTCATTCAGAAATCAAATGTGATCATTGTTTATTTGACCTGCCCACAAGTACTAGAACTCATAAGCAGGGAGGCTGAAGTGCAACTAGATAGCTCCCACAGACAGAAAACTCATGCTCAAGTATGGATTTCTGGGTTACATCTGCTTTGCATGTTAGTAACTGCCTGGTTGCTTGGAGCAGGCATCAATGTCCCAAATCTTCATAAGGGCTACCAGTTTATACAGACAGAGCTGTGAGCAGTTTCCACCTTACTGTCCTGGGGACACAGTGCAATGAAACCTGCATGCCTTGGCCTGGGTCAGGCCTGGGTAGAATCATTAGCAGCAGATTAAACAGTACTGGTGAGCAGAAAGGAGCAAAAACTGGGTGACCATTTCCTGCAGAGTTCCCCACTCCACCCAGGCGATACACTAGAAACTGGAGGGCTCTTCGTAAGCTCTGAGCATTTCATGCTCTCAAGTGGGTTTCCTAAGAATCTGCAATCCAGATTGTGAACCAGATCCACTTGCTAAAAAAACATTTGAAGACCCCACTAAATCAACAGGCATTAAATATGTAATCTTGAAGGTAAAGAGAGCCCAATGATGAAATGCTTTTCCTCTTTAGATTAGTATCCTGAAATTTCCTGGAGGTGTTACTTAGAAAAGCGGTTAAAATACGATGTGATTTCTTCAGCATCTAACCGTGAGGCAGTCATCCTAAACTATCACTGAGGAAATAAGACCCACTGATCTCAGCAGTGTGTATTTCCAAGCAAGTAGGTTGAAGAGTGACCTGCAAGATACTTTTCCAGAGATTTACCATCATCATAAGCACACAAGCAATTAAGTTACGGATCCATATTGCCAGCGAACAGCTCCTAACAACTGCTCCTCACAAACTTCCAGTGAGGTACAACTTTACACATGGGAGAAGGAGAGGCAGGCAGGTTAATTGTATCACTGAATAATCTCACTGAGACAGAGCAATGAAGTAAAAGAAGAATCCCATAAAACCCATTTGATGCTGCCATGCAACTTCTCTGGCCACCTAGTCACTGACTAACCCTGCTTTCAAGACTGTGCTTGAACTTTCAGCATTTAAAAAAATCTCGTAAGAAAAGTAATTTTCCTTACGTTTTTCTTCTCACAATCATATTCATATTGTTCTTATAGTGCCCCCCAATGTCACAGTAAGGAGCCCAGCCTCGAAATACTCCATGAAGACTAATGACAGTGCTGCAGAAAAGAGAAACATTATTGTCCTAGGGCTGTGCACAGGGGTACATACAGATGGTGCTGTACTGCACTCATTAATCATGATTTATGCACATTCATTTTGATACTCTGAAATGGTTTCTGGTCAAACCCATTTGAACAGGTTGTGCAGATTTTTTTAAATGATCAAAATGCCAGAACTACCTCCAGAGGCATGAGTGGAGTGACTGCAATATTCATACAATAAGTGCACTGATCCCATTTACACAGCTAAAATGCTGCAAAAACATTTAAGTCTTTGCTCTTGGCTACAGAATAAGTATTGATGCCACAAGAATTATCTTGCCAAATGGAAATAATTCTTTGCACAGTGGTGGAGCCCAAGCTTTCCCGTGGAAGGGGAATGCTAGGTGATGGTGACACTGTAGTTTATTGTGCCAGTTGTGCTATTGAGTAGCATAATCAGCTGCTGTTGAACAGGAAGCATTGAAGCCAAAGTGGCTATTGACATGATCGCTCCCAAGTGTCCTCTCCCACCTGGCAGAGCCCGTTCATCCCCTTGGTATACACCGGAATTACGGGAGATGAAGCGGGTTGGGAGACGTCTAGAGAATAGGTGGAAGAAATCACGGGATGAATCTGACCGAACACACTTGAGAGCCCATCGGGCCTTTGCTGTGGCGGTGAGGGGGGCGAAGAAGAATTCTTCTCCACTTCCATTGCCTCCTCACAATGCTGTCTGGCGGAGCTATTTTGGGTGGTACAGGGGCTGGTACATCCAGGCCCAAAGAAAGAACTTGTGCCACCCTCGAAGGCCCGCTGTGACGACTTCACCAAGCATTCCTGGGAGAAAATCACTCAGATTCGTCACGAGCTGGACTCTACTATTGAATCAGATTCTACTGGGGAGGTGCCAATGCTGCCATCTGGTCCACAATTGATGGATGAGTTTCAGTTGTCGCGGCCTGATGATGTGGACAAGGTGCTTGGACAGGTACGCCCTACCACCTGCTTACTGGACCCTTGCCCATCTTGGCTTCTCAAGACAGCCAAGGACGGGATTGGGACCTGAATCCTGGAGGTTGTCAACGCCTCTCTGAGGGACGGCCGGGTACCTGCCCCTTTAAAGGAGGTGGTAGACCGGCCAGTCCTAAAGAAGGCATCCCTGGATCCAGAGGCGGCCACCAATTATAGACCGGTGGCCAACATCCCATTCTTGGGCAAGGTGTTAGAGCAGGTGGTGGCGGGACAACTCCAAGCACTCTTGGATGAAACTGATTATCTGGACCCATTTCAGTCCGGCTTCAGACCTGGGTATGGTACTGAATCTGCCTTGGTCGCCCTGTATGATGACCTGTGCAGGGAGAGAGACGGGGGAGTGCGTCCCTGTTAGTTCTCCTGGACCTTTCAGCGGCTTTCAATACCATCGACCATGGTATCCTTCTGGATAGGCTAGCGGGATTGGAGGTCGGAAACACTGCTTTGCAGTGGTTCCGCTCCTATCTCAAGGGCCGTTTCCAGAAGGAGGTGCTGGGGGACTATGGCTCTGCGCCATGGCAGCTATGCCATGGAGTTCCACGGGGGTCCATTTTGTCCCCCTTGCTATTCAACATCTATATGAAACCACTGGGAGAGGTCATTAGGAGGTGTGGGCTGCGGAATCATCAGTACGCTGATGATACCCAGCTCTACCTCTTGTTCTCTACCAATCGACCTGGAGCTGACATTAGAAGCTCAGGTAACAGCAGTGGCGAGGAGCGCCTTCCTTCAGCTTCGGCTAATCCATCAGCTGCATCCCTACCTGGAGAACAACTGCCTGGCGACTGTGACACATGCATTGGTAACTTCCCGATTAGACTTCAGTAACGTGCTGTACGTGGGGCTGCCCTTGAAGACGGTCCGAATACTTGAATTGGTGCAAAATAGAGCTGCCAGGTTGTTGACAGGGATTGGGTGTTGTTCTCATATAACCCCAGTCCTCCGTCAGTTTCACTGGCTCCCCATTGAAGTCCGGGCCCAATTCAAGGTGTTGGTTATCACCTATAAAGCCCTCAACGACTTGGGACCTGGTTATCTAAAGGAGCGCTTACGTCCATATATGCCCTCCCACCCCTTGAGATCAGCAGGGGAGGCCCTTCTCCGGGAGCCCTCTGTGAGGGATATTAGGAGGGTGAGTACCCGGAGGAGGGCCTTCTCTGCAATGGCGCCCCACCTATGGAATGCGCTCCCCAGAGAGGTCCGTCTGGCGCCGTTGTTATTTGGTTTTCAGTGCCAGGCCAAGACCTTTTTATTTAAACAATATTTTAAGTGTTAACTGGTTTTTATTTAATGGTTTTATATTTGCCATGAAATTTTTAATATCACTCTATGCCCGATTG